GCTGTAGTTACACTCACAACAGTCGTAACACGATGGTGGGTATAGTGATGTTACCGCGTTCATGAGTGCTGTAGTTACAGTAACACAGTCAGTACAACGAGTGGTGGGTATGTGATGTTACCGCGTTCATGAGTGCTGTAGTTACACTACACACAGTCAGTAACACGATGGTGGGTATAGTGATGTTACCGCCGCTTCATGAGTGCTGTAGTTAGCACTCACCACAGTCAGTAACACGATGGTGGGTATAGTGATGTTACCGCGTCATGGTGCTGTAGTTACACTCACACAGTCAGTAACACGATGGTGGTATAGTGATGTTACCGCGTTCATGAGCTGCTGGTAGTTACATCACACAGTCAGTAAGCACGATGGTGGGTATAGTGATGTTACCGCGTTCATGAGTGCTGTAGTTACACTCACACAGTCAGTAACACGATGGTGGGTATAGCGATGTAACCGCGTTCATGAGTGCTGTAGTTACACTCACACAGTCAGTAACATCGATGCGTGGGTATAGTGATGCTTACGCGTTCATCGAGTGGCTGAGTAGTTAGCAGTCAAGCAAGTCAGTAAGCACGATGGTGGGTATTAGTGATGTACCGCGTGCGCCATGGAGTGCTGAGTACGTAACTCACGAGTCAGCTAACACAATGGTGGGCTTATAGCGATGTTACGCGCGCGTTCATGAGTGCGTGTGAGCTTACGACTTCACACAGTCAGAAACGATGGTGGGTATACGTTGATGTACCGCGTTCATGCAGTGCTGTGTATGTACACTCACACAGTCAGTAACACGATGGTGGGTTATAGGTGCATGTTACCGCCGGTTCATGAGTGCTGTAGTTACACTGCACACAGGTCAGTAACACGCCATGCGTGGTATAGCGCATGTTACCGCGTTGTCATGTGAGTGCTGTAGTTACACTGCACACAGTCAGTAACACGATGGTGGCGTAGTAGTGATGTTACCGCGCGTTCATGACGTGCTGTAGTTACACTCACACAGTCAGTAGTAAACACGGATGGTGGTAATAGTGATGGTTACCGCCGCTTCATGAGTGCTGTAGTTACACTGCACACCAGTCAGTAGAACGAATGGCTGCGGGTATGAGTGCTGTTACCGCGTTCCATGCGGAGTGGCTGTAGTTACACTCAACCAGTCAGTAAACACGCATGGTGGCGTTATATAGTGATGCTTTACCGCGTTCATGAGTGCTTGTAGTTAGCGGGGAGCTCACACAGTCAGTAAACACGATGGTGGTATAGTGATGTTACCCGCGTTTCATGAGTGGCTGTAGTTAGCACTACACAGTCAGTGAACACGATGGTGGGTCGTATTAGCGATGTGTACCGTCCGCTTCATGAGTGCGCTGCTAGTTACACTGCACACAGTCAGTAACACGATGGTGGGTATAGGTGATCTGTTACCGCCGTTCCATGGAGGTGCTGTAGTTACACGTCAACACAAGTCAGTAACACGATTGGTGGGTTATGAGTGATGTTACCGCCGCGTTCATGAGTGCTGTAAGTTACACCTCACACAGTCAGTAACACGATGAGTGGGTATAGCTGCATGCTTACCGCGTTCATGAGTGCTGTAGTTACACTTCACACATCAGTAACGACGATGGTGGGACTATAAGCGATGTTACCGCCGTTCATAGTGCTATAGGTTACACTCACACAGTCAGCTAACACTGAATGGTTGTGGTATAGTGATGTTACCGGCCGGTTCATGAGTGCTGTAGTTACACGTACACAGTCAAGTAAGCACGATGGTGGGCGGTAGTAGGGATTTACCGGCGCTTCATGAGTGGCTGTAGGTTACTCACCGACAGTCAGTAACACGATGCGTGAGGGTATAGTGATGTACCGGCGTTCATGAGTGGCTGGTAGTTACAGCTAACACCGAGTCAGTAACAACGATGGATGGGTCGTATAAGCGATGATTACCGCCGTTCCATGAGTGCCTTAGTGTTACGACTACACACAGTCAGTAACACGTGGTGGGTTATAGCGATGTTACCGCGTTGCATGAGTGCTGTAGTTACACTCACACCAGTCGTAACACGATGGTGGGTTTTTAATAGCGATGTTACCGCGTTCATGAGGCTGTGCTTACACTCACACAGTCAGTAACGACGATGCGTGGGCTATAGGTATGTTACCGCCGCGTTCATGAGTGCTGCTAGTTACACTCACACAGTCAGTAACACGAATGGTGGGTATAGGCGATGTTTAACCGCGCGTTCAATGGAGTGCTGTAGGTACCAGTACACAGTCAGTACACGATGGTGGCTATAGGGAATGTTACCGCGTTCATCGAGTGCTTGTAGTTACACTACACAGTCAGAAACACGATGGTGGGTATAGTGATGTTACCCGCGTTTCATGAGTGCTGTAGTTAGTCACGTAAACGAGTAGCGATGTGCGCTCAGTTGTGCAGTACACCAAAGTAGTCGGTAGGTATTAGTGAGTTACCGCTGTTTCCCATGAGCTTGCTGTAGTTACACTCAACACAGCTCACGTAAACACGATGGTGCGGATAAATAGCGGATGTTACCGCCGCTTCATGCAGGCTGTAGTTACACTCAGCACAGTCCCCAGTAACACGAGGGTGGTATAAGTTGATGTTTACCGCGTTCCATGAGTGCTTGTAGTTACAGCTACACACAGTCGTAACACGATGGTGGGGTATCAGTGGATGTGTTACCGCGGTTGCATGAGTCTGTAGCTTACACTCACAGCAGTCAGAACACGATGGTGTATAAGTTGTATGTTTACGCCCGTGTTCATGAGTGCTGTAGTATTACACTCACACAAGTCAGTAACCACGATGGTGGGTATGAGTCGATGTACTGTAACTACAGCACTCATGAACGCGGCGGTAACATCGCTATACCCACCATCGTGTTACTGACTGTGTGAGTGTAACTACAGCACTCATGAACGCGGCGGTAACATCGCTATACCCACCATCGTGTTACTGACTGTGTTACTGTAACTACAGCACTCATGAACGCGGCGGTAACATCGCTATACCCACCATCGTGTTACTGACTGTGGTGAAGTCGTAACACTACAGCCACTCATGAACGCTCGGTAACATCGCTATACCCACCATCGTGTTACTGACTGTGTGAGTGTAACTACAGCACTCATGAACGCGGTAACATCGCTATACCCACGCCATCGTGTTACTGACTGTGTAGCTGTAACTACAGCACTCATGACGCGGTAACATCGCTATACCCACCATTCGTGTTACTGACTGTGTTACATGTAACTACAGCACTCATGAACGCGCGGTAACATCACTATACCCACATCGTTTACTGACTGTGTGAGTGTAACTACAGCACTCATGAACCGCGGTAACATCACCTATACGCCACCATCGTGTTACTGACTGTGTGAGTGTAACTACAGCACTCATGAACGCGGCGGTAACATCACTATACCCACCATCGTGTTACTGACTGTGTGAGTGTAACTACAGCACTCATGAACGCGGTAACATCACTATACCCACCATCGTGTTACTGACTGTGTGAGTGTAACTACAGCACTCATGAACGCGGTAACATCACTATACCCACCATCGTGTTACTGACTGTGTGAGTGTAACTACAGCACTCATGAACGCGGTAACATCACTATACCCACCATCGTGTTACTGACTGTGTGAGTGTAACTACAGCACTCATGAACGCGGTAACATCACTATACCACCATCGTGTTTACTGATCTGTTGTGAGTGTAACTACAGCAAGCTCATGAACGCGGTAACATCGCTATACCCACCATCGTGTTACTGACTGTGTGAGTGTAACTACAGCACTCATGAACGCGGTTACATCGCTTATACCCACCATCGGTGTTACTGACTGTGGTGGTGTAACTACAGCACTCATGAACGCGGTAACATCACTATACCCACCATCGTGTTACTGACTGTGTAGTGTAACTACAGCACTCATGAACGCGTAACATCACTATACCCACCATCGTGGTTACTGACTGTGTGGAGTGTAACTACAGCAGTCATGAAAACGCGTAACCATCACTATACGCCACCCATCGTGTTTCTTCTCCTCCTCGCCTGGGAAAACGTCGTCGGCGGTAGGTGTTTAGCTGCCCTCATCTGCTTCGCAAGACGCAGAAACAAGTTGCAGCTCGGCGAGCGAGAGTGTATTACTTCAGCGCGCCTCAACCTCAGGAAACAGCGTGGAGCACTTCTAAGCTATCGCATATGTTCTGTAAAGCTCAGCACCTTCTAAACTGCTTCAGGACCGACCGTAACATGGCTGTTATTGCTATGGGCTGCCAGCCTTAGAAAATGTTTGTTTCCCCCTCTTACCTACCTCGCATCTCAGGGTAGCCGAGTAGCGTAGGTATAGTAAAAAAAAAAAAATTTTTTCTTTTTGGACAAGATGTGTGGCTATCATGTATGTATATTGTTTATTCTGGTTTGTGTATATGTTTTTGCAAACGGACATTTGAATTTTTTTTTGACAAAACAAAATGAATTTTGCTTTTGTTTTAATCGGCCAATAAAATGTGCTCGAGTAGCCGGCCATAATTGGGCGAGTCGGTCGGTAAAAGGCGACAACAAGCCAATATTTTATCTTCGGCCCTGGCAGCTGGTCTGGCGCCAGCACTTTGCTTATGGCACATCGCCTCGTTTAGCCCAACTGCAATTGCTATCACATCCTCTCTTCTTGTCCGCTCCGACATCTCCTCAGTTGCCAGCCGCCCCATTGTATGGCCACNCAATCGTAAATACGCAGATATATATATATATATATATATATGTCTTCATCACTGTTCTAATATCAGATTAGCTTTCTTAAAATATAATTATCGTGCTAAGATCAGAGAGATCTGACTAAAAGTCAGGACAAACACGAGCAAAATAAAAAAATGTCATCTTGTGATAATTCCGATTTTTAATGTCCAACCCAGCGCGGCGGGTGGGGGATGGGAGGTGAACTCACAGCACGCGGCACGATCGGCACTCCGGTCTCCTTCTCCAGCGGGCCGATGCCCTCCACCTTCGGCGGCCCGCGCTTCTCGATGACGGTCGTCGTCGTCTCCCTGCCGGGCACCAGGTAGTAGGAGTCGGTGTGCTTCACATCCCCTTCCAGCCTCTCATCGGTGCCGAGGTACTGAGCTCCCTTCGGGATCTCTCCGCCTGTACGCCGGAAACAACGTGTCACGTGGGAAACGACGTGTTATGGGGAAATTATGTTTTACAGGGGAATGTAGTTTTAGGCAGATGTGCGTGCGTGCGTGCGTGCGTGCGTGCGTGCGTGCGTGCGTGTGTGTGTGATCAACAATCAGTGATGACCCTCAGTATGAACAAGATTTCATTATCGGCAATTTCTGGTGGCTAGTGATTTATGGATATTTGAAAACAGTAAGTAAAACTTACTGCACTTAAAGGAGGCAGGAAATGCTCAGGGATGACAGGCTTTGCGTTTTTTTATTTCATGTGCTTTCGAGTTTTACCTGACGGACGGGCATCATGCATATTTATAACTCGTTACTTAATCTCAGCTGTGGACGTGACGTGTGCACGCACGTGCACGGACGCACGCGCATGCGAATGAAGATCCTGGTGAGGAGGACAGGAGAGAAGGGGAAGGGAGGAGGAGAGGTGAGAAACGGGAGGAGGACAGGAGAAGAGGAGGGGAGGAGGAGAGGTGAGAAAGGGAGAGAATGGTATGCGGAGAGCGAGAGAGAAAATGAGAACAGAGGGGTAGGGTAGGAGAAGAGAAAGGGAGGAGGGGTAAGAGATGAGACGAGGAGAAAAGAGAAGGGGCAGAGAAGGGTACGTAAGAGGAGAGGAGAGAAGGAGGGCACAGATCCGACGTGAATTATAAGAACTACATAACAGTTACTCTAACCACATACTGAGGACGTGTCTAGTGTTCACTATAGTATACTATAGGCTACTACTAATACTAGTAGTCATTCATGCAATAAACTTGATGACATACACCACATGCAAGAAATTGCTAGGATAGGGTTAGACAGTGGTTACATACTACATGTATCCAGACTGGCCCATGGTCAAATATTACATCAAGGATAGCCCAGGGTCAAATATTACATCAAGGCTAGCCCAGGGTCAAATATTACATCAAGGCTAGCCCAGGGTCAAATATTACATCAAGGATAGCCCAGGGTCAAATATTACATCAAGGCTAGCCCAGGGTCAAATATTACATCCAGATTGGAAAGTGGTGAAATATTACATCCAAACTGGACAGTGGTAAAATA